ATGCGGTCACCACTAACCATAAGCATAACAGTGAAAACAGCTAACATGTAAAATATGGATTGTATTATTTCCATTCATTTTGTTCCACCAGATTTCCATAAAGAACAACAATAACGACCCAGTGAAATATCACTAGTGAGATCTGGGGAGGTTAGTATGTAGGCAGGTTTCGCAAAGAACATTAAAAAAATTACCTGGTGCAACTGTAATGGTTGAATTTTCCTTTGTAAGAGTCTGCATCTGGCCTTTAGTTGCACATCTGGCACTCTGCATTAAATGCAGAATTGAAAGGTTGAACAGGGAATACTAGTGGCAATAAATGTTACTAGAATGATGCGGGAAATGGAAAACCAAACACTAAATGCAAGCAGTAGTAATCGCAGCACCAGCATCAAGAACATCAATATAGATAAATGATGAGGTCCTAATTCCCATTGTTGTTTTTTAGATTAAAAGTTTGGTAGATCATATTTCGAATTGTCTGTAACTAGAAATGCATTACACTACCACTTTCAAGTAACAAACAAGGATATATTTCCACATTTTACCAATTCATATCTATAAACAACGAGTGGCAAATAGAGAGGCTAATCAGCTTGAGTTTAGGCCTTTAGGGTACTTCTTTTAGCGAGTGCAGTCGTTCCCAATATGCTGACTGCAGAATCCTGCTTGGCATGCTGAAGGAGACATAGTCCAATGTGATAACTTATGCCATGAGCAGCGACTTGTACTATCATTCTGAAGCTCTGAAGCTTCTCACAGCAAAAGTCGCACAAAATTAATATATATAGGACATGACAAGTACGACTGACCAACTAGAATCATTAGGGGCATGTAATTAGCTAAACATGGCAATGCTAGCAGTTACACAAACAAACAGTAGTACCCACAGAAATGTTACCAGAGCAGCAACACATATTATTGAAGCGCGCTTTCCTTGAACAGGACATATCAAGTGTCTTCCATAGTTAATAAATTGAGACTGCATGCCAAGCGGCTGGAGGCCAAAAGATACTATTGGCTTGAATTGCTTCAGGCATTCAGCGTCTGCTCTCACTGTGACAACAACATCCAACGATTAATAACATAGATAGCACAAGCTGCAGGATGAGCAGCAAATCTTCAAATGGTTTTGCCAACGATGAATTTTAAAGTATCAAATCTTTTGATGACATCTTTGACAAACCTTAAACATAAATGTTCGATTCAGAAACTAACAGCATCACATCAAGTCAACCAGAAAATCAAAGACGAGATTTTTTATTTTTTAAGTGTTTCTTTTGACAAGTAAACTCAAAGACAAAAGCTTTTGAGTTAGGGCAAAGGATGCATCTTAGACTTCAAAGGAGTTGAACAACACCAAATTCAAGAAAGCTAAGATGATATATCATACACACTTTTACTGATTTGCAGTAAGAAAAAGTATTTCAACATGTTGGTGAGTGCAAATTTATGTTTTCATGGAGAGAAAAAGAGAGTGCTAAAACAGTCAAAAATTATATGCAGAACAGCAACTGCAATATTACAAAAAGATCATTACTTCATGTTACGTTCTGATATAATTCCTAAAGCACTTGTAGCAATGGCTATTCAGATATTCTTACATCTAATGCAGCAAAGGCTCCTCAGTGAGATAACAACAAGAGAAGTTGATGTATACGGAGTAATATATTAATGTTTGACATGATCAAAGGATATGAAAGTTTTCATTGTGTGCTCCTAATTACATGAAAAAGATAGTAACCTGGCATTCCTTTAAATACATGCAGAGGTACTTATTAAAAGGAATCAGTCAAGGAATATACACAAACATACCTATTGGCAAAGTAGGTGCACTCATAGTGGTACTGGCAGTTAACAACATAACAACATCTCTTTGAAAAAATTCTGAGTCTCCCTGAAATTGAACTCCTACTAGAATCCTGAAATACAAAAGGAAGAGTAGATTGAGTATGCAATCAACAACAATAACAAGAAGTCAACAACTACACATCAATCGCGAATAAGTTGGGAGAGGCTATATGAATCTATTAATCATGTTTCGCCATTTAAGCTCAACTCATGTCATCATCACAACATATAGAATAATGAGTGAAAAACAAGTTTAATATGTATAAACTAGTAGAATAATCATTATAGAAAAGCAAGAGGACCAAAAACAAGGTACTAACAAGGGTAAAACCTATTCCCGCCTATATCAATCTTTTTCCTCCGTTGTGCCTTATCTTTAGCTAAGTCTGCATTGATTACAAGAAATTGTAGGTCTTTCGACACAACTTCTTTCCATGTGATTTTAGGTCTACCTCGTCCCCTTTTAACACCTTAACTTACCATAATTTCACACCTACGAACCGGTACATTTGGAGGTCAACTCAGGATATGACCAATCCATCTCAAACAACCTTCTCTTAATTTATCCTCAGTGCCCGCTACTTGCACCTTTTGGCGAATGACATTTTAAAATCTTATTAGCATTCACATCTCCGCAACACTCATCTTTTGGATATATTGAACTTAAGCGACCTAACATTCACTACCATATAACAATATCGGCCTCATAACTGTTCTATAGAACTTGTCTTTCACTTTGGTGGGCGTCCTTATATCACATAACTCCCCAGGTAGCACTTCTTCATCTATCATTCCGCTATCTTGAAACCACATTCTCACGTCTTTGCACAAGTACAACGATAGCATGAACCAAATCGCTTATTCCTGCAAATCAAATAACCTTTCTTGCCTCTAGTAGGCAAAACAGGATTACCAACGAAAGGATGTCAATGTCCAATATCAGCTTGACTCTTAGATCAGGTGTCACATGTATTCTGTTCCATATCCAAATATACACCACCCAAGTATTCCTTGACGAGGATCATAATGGATCAGACTCTATTTTCTAATACCTTAACTAATCCAGAAACAAGACAGGGCAATCGGCTAAGATATTTCCAAATTGCTTTTCTTAAATACATATACGATACTATTTATTTTGATAAAAAATTTACAGTTAATTGAAGCTTTGTTTAGGGTGCTTAACTCTGACGTTTTTTTATAGTTAATTCGGTGCTCACCTTCTGACACAGAGAACAGCGGTTGCCAAGTTTCTGAAGCGGCTCGATTAGAATCCCATGTGAAATAAAAATTAGAAGAGAATGATAATAAATAAATAAATAAATTATATATATAAGGAATTTATGATGGCAGAATCACTAAACCTAGAAATCATGAACTTATAACTTAAAAGGTGAGCTTGCTATTACTTCTAATCCCGTTAGTAGGAACACTTATTATAAACTATTTATTTCGTTGTTGAGATGCAAATTATGTGGCCCTACTTATTAGGTCATTGGAGATAAAATCTTTGGGATGAAATTTTGTGGTGTGTTTGGTATGATGGAAAGTACTGCTTCTTCGATCACAGCAACACCAATATGAGCATATGGATTGCTAGCTCCTGTGATTAGAATTAGTGAGCGATAGCCCGTGCTCTGCACGAGCCCAAACTCAAATGAAAAATTTAAACAATTCCAATTAATTAATAATTTTATTATGAAATAAATATGATTTTCAGTCACAAATTTTCAGTATTGAAGTCAAGTTCATGTCGAAATATAATGCGTAATCTTTTTTTCAATTTTAATTTCAAATACTTTTTTTAAACCTTAATCGAATATTATTGAATGCTTACAAAAAAATTAAATTCAAACCCTACAAGATTATACATAAACTAACTTGTGTTAGACACTTTTTTCAAGGGAAAAAGGATGTATAATAAAATGTGACTAAAACCTATATTAAGCTATAACTATATTATTCTCGTTGTCTTTATAAGATCGACAATGGCATGGTATAATGATCAAAATATCTACTTTTTATTTTATATTTTCAGTATGGTAATAATTCCCTTTCATTAATATCATAATTCAATTCTATTCCTATAATTATAGATAGTTACCTGATGTAACGACCCAACCAGTCGTTTTAAAAGTTGTAGCCTCATTTTCCTATTTACTGCTCATTCTGTACTTTATAACTGATATATGACTTGCCGGAGTAATTGGTTTAGGTCCGGTGAGGTTTTGGAATGAATTGGAATATTTAGTTCCAAGTTTTAAAGCTTAAGTTCAAATAGTGACCGGATGCCGACTTATGTGCAAACGACCCCGGAATAAAATTATGATGATTCCAATAGCTACGTATGGTGATTTTGGACTTAGGAGTGTGTTCAGAATTATTTTTGAAAGTCCGTAGTTAAATTAGGCTTGAAATGGCTAAAATAGGAAATTTAAGTTTGGAAGTTTGACCGGGGAATTGACTTTTTGATATCGGGATCGGAATCCAGTTCTAAAATTTTTTATAGCTCTGTTATATCATTTATGACTTGTGTGCAAAATTTGAGGTCAATCGAACTTGATTTGATAGGTTTCGGCATCGAATGTAGAAGTTGGAAATTCTTAAGTTTCATTAAGCTTGAATTGGGATGTGAATTGCGATTTTTAGCGTTGTTTGATGTGATTTGAGGCTTCAAATAAGTTTTTATGATGTTTTAGGACTTGTTGGTATATTTGGTTGAGGTCCCGAGGGCCTCGGGTGAGTTTCGGATGGTTAACGGATCAAAAGTTGGACTTAAGCAGCCGCTGCAAAAGCTGCTACAATTTTTTTCTGAAGGAAATGCAGAAATCGAGCCAAGGATCGAAGCCCGAAAATCGAGCCCAGGATCGAAGCCCAGAAATCGAGCCCAGGGTCGAGGGCCAGGATCGAGGGCCATGATCGAACGCTCAAGATCGAGGGCCATGATCGAGGGCCATGATTGAGGTTCAGGATCGAGGGCCATGATCGAAGGCTCAGGATCGAGGACCATGATCGAAGTCCAGAATCGAGGGCCATGATCGAGGTCCAGGATCGAGGCAGGACCGAGGGCTGCCTGGACAAAATTATAAAACGGGAGACTTCGTCCCATTTGCCATTTTTGACGAATCGTAGCTTGAGGAGAGGCGATTTTTGATATATTTTTAAGGAAAAATATTTGGGTAAGTGATTCTAACTCGGATTTGGTCAATATACACTAATATATCATTGTTTTCACTATTAATTAGTGTATTGAGATAGAAATTTGGAAAAATTTTAGAAATCTCATAGAAACGAATTTTTGAGATTTCGGTGTCGATTCGGAGTCGGATTTGAGTAAAACTAGTATGGTTGGACTCGTAATTAAATGGGTTATCTGATTTTGTGAGTTTCGCCGGATTCCGAGACGTGGGCCCCACAGGCGATTTATGAGTTAATTTCGGATTTTTATTGAAAAATATAGTATTTTCTTATGAAATTAATTCCTATAATTTTTGTTGACTGTATCAAATTATTACGACTACATTCGAGCCGATCGAAGTCAGAAAATCGAGAAAAAGGCATACTACTTGATTAAATTGGAGCAAGTCGAGGTAAGTGACTTGTATAACCTTGTGTGGGGGAAATTTTTCCTAGGATTGGTATTGATGTGATAATTGTAATGTGATGAAAGTCGTGTATATGAGGTGATGAGTGTGTACACGGGTTAAATGTGAAAGATTATATTTTTAAATTGTGTAGATCAATGTTGCATATTAATTAAATTATTAAATCTTGTTATATTCTCCATCATTGATCTGATTTATATACTTTAAATTTGCTTGACTTTCTCCTGCTAATTGTTTTTACATGTTTAGCTGAAACTTAATTTCTTTTATTCAGTGCATTATTTGAAGGTGGAATTTCTTTAATTTAAATATTATTAATATGAAGTATTTGATATTTTAAATTTGGAACTGAGGCAACGTATTAAAATTTTTTAAATATTATTTTTGCTGAATTATTTAATTCCAGAATATTTTGTGAGATTTTTGTACTCATTGTGATTGAGTCGTGAGCTCCCTGTTGTAGAAAGTATGTTGATATTGTTTATTTTGGCAAATTAAAATATTTGGGCACTTGAGGTGCAAATTGTGATATATTTTGATATTGATACGCATGCGGTGGTATAATGTCTGGGTGTTGAAACGCATGCGGTGAGATAAGGATGACTTGATACACGTGGCTAGTAGGGAAACTACTAGAAGTCATGCGGTGTGATAAGGGTGGATAAAATGCGGGATGCTATTTCGAGAAAAATATTTTTCTTTAAAATTAAATATGAAGGCTCCGGTGGTGATATAAGGAAATGAGATATTGTAAATTTATTTATTATTTGGGACTACGAGGCGGTACTTCGGGAGTGCCCTTGTTGATATTGATTTATGGCCGCAGTTGCCTTTGATTATTATTGTGATTTTCTTAAAGTTGAAAAGAATTCTGTTTTGTTTTCACGAGGTATTATTTGCCATTATTTTGCATAGTTAATTGGTAACATACTACTTACTTGATTCATTTCCATTGTTATTTCATTTTTAGTATATTGTTAAACATTTCACCTTGTCTTTTATTATTCCAGTAGAGCCTGACCTGACCTCGTCACTACTCTACCGAAGTTAGGCTTGGCACTTACTGGGTACCGTTGTGGTGTACTCATACTACACTTCTGCACATCTTTTTGTGCAGATCCAGGTACATCCTACCAGTCCAGACATCAATGAGTTACCTGTATACGGAGACTTCGAGGTATATCTGCCAGCGTCCGCAGACTCCGGAGTCCCCTTCTATCATTATTATGTTGCTTCCTTATTTTTCTTAGACCCTGATATATATAGATACATTGAAGATAAATTCTTAGAAGCTTGTGACTTATTTTCACCGGGTTTTGAGAGTTGAAATTATGTGAATTTGAAGATTATTTATTTCAAATTTCTATTGTTATTCCGCATTGATAGGCTTACCTAGTCTTAGAGACTAGGTGCTATCACGACATCCTACGGAGGGAATTTGGGGTCGTGACAAGTTGGTATCAGAGCTCTAGGTGTTATGAGTCACAAACAGGTTTAGTAGAGTCCTATGGATCGGTACGGAGACGTCTGTACTTATCTTCGGGAGGCTATGGAATTGTTAGGAAAATATTCGCTTCTTTGATTCCTTACCGTGCGCACTGTTGACTTCAAAGTTCTAAACCATTGTCTTTATATTCTCTCACAGATGGTGAGGACACGCACAACTGGATCCGATGAGCAGACACATGTGCCCCCTGTTGGAGCCGCAAGAGGCCGGGGTCGGGGCAGAGGTCGAGGAAGGCCATGTGGTGCGACCAAAGCACCTGCTCGAGCTGCTGCAGCAGAGCCACCAGTAGCTCCAGTTGGAAAATAGGCACCTGAGATGCCTGTTACTACTCCTGCACTTCAGGAGACCCTTGCCCAGTTTTTGAGCATGTTTGGCACTCTAGCTCAGGCAGGGTTGATTTCACTTGCTCCTGCCACATCTCAAGCCGGGGGAGGAGCACAGACTCCCGCTGCCCGTACCCTAGAGCCACGGACCCAAGTTGACCATGCCCCAGAGGTTATACCAGTGCAGCCAGTTTTCCCAATTCGGCTTGAGGTTAGGACAACAGTTTTAGAGGGGGAGCAACTCAGGCTCGAGAGGTACAAGAAGTACCACCCTCCCACTTTCAGCGGTTTAGCTTCAAAAGATGATGAGGGTTTTCTGGAGGAATGTCACCGTATCCTCTGTACTATGGGTATTGTAGATTCCAGTGGTGTTTCTTTCACGACGTTTTAGCTTAGAGGAGAAGCCTACCGGTGGTAGCAGACATATGAGTTGGATAGTCCGGCTGAGGCAGCTTCACTTACTTGGACTCAATTTTCAGATATGTTCTTAAAGGAGTATGTTCCTCAGAGTCTTAGAGATGCATGGCGTGCAGAGTTTGACCGTGTCGGAATATGCGGTCTGATTCAGTGATTTTGCTAGGCATGCACCAGCCTTAGTTGCTACTGTTCAAGAGCGGGTTCGCAGATTTATTGAGGGTCTCCACCCTAGTATCAGATTCAGTATGACCCGAGAGCTAGAGATGGACATCACATACCAACAGGTGGTGTCAATTGTTAGGAGATTGGAAGGTATGCGGATCCGGGAGAGGGAAGAGAGGGAAGCTAAGAGACCCCGAGATTCTGGCACATATAATAATTCTCGTGCCCCAGCTGCAGCCCACCATGGTAGAGGTTATATGAGCCGTCCTATTCATTCAGCACTTCCAGCTTCCAGTGGTATTCCGGCTTCTCCCAGACCTCAGGTTCCATATTATGCACCGCCAGTGTCTTCTGTACCTCCTGTACGGGGTGCCTTCAGCAGGTAGTCTAGTCGATCAGGCCCGAGCCAGTCCCAACAACCACGTCCTCTGAGGGCTTATTTTGAGTGTGGTGACACTCGTCATATCATGAGAGATTTCCCCAGACTTAGGAGGGTTGAACCTCCACAGATTTCTC